TCATGAGGCTGAGAAAGAAAACTACACAAAGTAACTTGATTATGCCTGCCATTGAGGACCATTACCACTTCAATACTTTACACTATACTTTCATTTTTTTTTTTTGGTGGAGAGAATCGTGAGAACTTGTTCTATTTATAACGACCAGAACTTACAATTTTTGGTTGTGGAAAAACCCTAATGAAAGGAATTTAGGTAAGAGAAGGTGGAAAACAGATTTAAAGTCTGTGGATGAAAAGAAAAAAGATTTAAGGATATTTTTCATAATATATATATATATATATTTTTTTAAAGTGTAAGTTATGTACTAGTTAAAAATATTTCATCTTATTTGTCTATTGAATATATATATATATATATATATATATATTTCGTTGTGTGGTTTGTGTAGTTCATCACGTTTGAAGAATTTGGAATGGTCAAATTTGTTAATTTTGGAGTCTACTTTGGCTACTGGCCAAGGCCGGCCCTGGTTATAAGCAACCCAGGTCGCCTAGAGCCTCCAATTTGGAAGGGCCTCAAATTTAGGTGGTTGCCTGAGGCCCCAACCAATATGAAAGTCCTAAAATTTTAAATTTTCTTATATAAGATATAAATTTATATCCTAAAATAACTTTTATTTTTTCTCTTTTCTTTTTTAATTAAACTCTAACCAAGGGCCCAAAGCTTTATATTTTTAAATAACTTTTTTTTCTCTCTCTCATTCACATTTTGTTACAAAAACACTAAATTTTTTTTTTTTGGGTAAGTTATACCCGAAGTAAATATTAAATATGTATTTAATCATGGTTTGGGAAAGTTATGAAACTTTTCATATTATTTTTCTAACTTTTATCTTTTATTTATTTATTATTTTCTTATTCCTCACATACTTTTTGTCCTCTCTCAACAAGTCACAAGAAGTCAGATCCCTCTCTCTCGTTAAAAATTATAATAGTAGTTCTCTTTCTTCTCCGCTCAACCCATTACTCTCAATTTGATCCCATTTTCATTCTATTGAAGAATTTGTAAGAATATTAGATTAAGGTTTTCTAAATCGGGTTCTATTATTCTTTTTCTTTAATTATTTTTTAGTTTTATTAACTTTTTTATTATAAATTTGTGTGTATATATATATTTTATCCAAACTTAAATACAATAATCTAATTAGTAATTTTGCATTTAAAAAAGTAAAAAGGATTATTTTTAAATAAATATTATTTAATATTAATATATTATATGCCACTTTTTTGTCTTTCGCCTAAGGCCCCAAATTATTTTGAACCCTCATGGTGCTTATCGTTTCATTGCGTTTGAACCCTTATGTGTAAAGACCTCACAGTTGAAACTTCGTTTGGGGCCTCTCAAAATTTGGTAATCTCATGACCGACCCTGCTAGGCTATTGTGACTGATTCCGATTTCAGGGAACCGATTGGGCGTGCAAAATTCCAAATTGGGTTTGGCTACTATCAAAACACAACCGATTTTACTTTAAGAGAACCGATTTGTGTTTTCGCGAAGAACAACTGATAAAAGTATCCGATTGTGTTCTTTTAGGTCAACATATTAATATATGGCAACTTACTAAGTTTTTTCAATTTTTCATCCTTCTAATTTTCTAACAATGTTTGATTTACAATGTTTGATTTACGTGAGGGTGTGAAACAATGTCAAGAAACAATACATGTGCTTGTTGACTGTCTAACTTTCTTTGAATACACTCCATATTCTAGCCACAAGCCATATATATTACTATGTATAACACTAACAATCCCACTAATGTTATATTTTGGAGCATCCGATCGTGCTATGAATTTAGAATTTAGGGTAGTTTAGTTTAAAATTTATCTTAAATTTTTTTCAATCTCAAATCCACAGGACGTGCTGCCAAACATATCATAAATTCAATTTCAAATGAAATAAAGTAAATATGGTTGAATCTTAAACCCAATATATAGAAAAAAAAATATATATATATTTTTTATAGATATTTAATTGCAAATAGTAATTGAATCAAATTTTATACCACTTATAACCCTTCTAGGTCGATTGGGCTTTTATACCATTTATAAAACCACATGGTATGATGAGTTCAATTTGTTCTTGAATTTTACCTTAAATTGTCTCATACTATTTGGAAATTACAATAACGTGCACCCATAGCAAGTCAGCGTGATAACTTACTGTAACGATTGGGTAGTACTACATACCCACCCATTTATACAAACTTTAATTCCATCCAAATCCAATGTGGGACAAATATTCCCTTGTTACATTCTCTTTCACTCGAACTCATAATGCCCTCGTTGCTGCTCGGGCCACCCTACCTACCCGAGCTGCAGATTCGGACGCCCTCCAGGCCAGCCGCTTGGTGTGACATCGGACTAAGAATTGAGTCTGGTTCTGATACTAACAATAATGGGTGGGTAATTACTCATTTATCAAAAAAAACTCAAGCAGTTATGTAGTGTTATATACCTATCTATTTATACACACTTCAACTCTCATCCAAATTCGACGTGAGACAAATATTTCTTGTTACACCTGCTTATGCCTTGCAACCACCAACACATGCTCGTTGGCACACTTCCCATTTCCCATTATATTTCTTTCTTAATCAACCACTACTAATATAGTACTACTGAATTATATTTGAACTAAATAACTAAATTTTTTAATATTAATTTAATAAACCTTTCAACTAAACAACTAATTAAAAAATAAAAAAATGAAAGTTAGTAATTAATTATTTATAGAAATAATTTAATTTAAATTATAAATTCACTTTATATATATATATATAAAGTGAATTTATAATTTAAATTTTATATATATATGTTGTCTGTTTCATGAGAAATGACAAGTTCCTGCCATAAAATATGTATTTCACAATCTTTTTCTTTATGGTCATTATATTTTTATTATTATAAAAGGCTAGTTGACACATATGATAAAAATAATAATAATTTTGATTTATTTATTTATTATTATTTTTTAATGAAATTTTGTCAAGCATACAAATTTAGTCGGTTAGTCCACTGAACAATAAGCTATATTACATGAACTCGAGTAGATATATTGGATGCGAATATGTGTCCATGCACAGAAGAACATATGGACACTATTTATTTTATTTTATTTTTTAAAATAAAATAATAATATATATATTTTTATTTAATATAAACATTAAATGATTGTATATATATTTTTAAATATATGTTCACCTAAAAATATCCGGACACATTATACTTCCAACACGAATTACTTTAAAAAAAATTCATATTATATATTGTAATCTGACACGCAAATGCTTTAACTGCCGAAAAAGTATATATATAAATATATATATATATATAAGGATTGGGAAATAAAAGATGCTAGCAGGGCATTACATGACATGTTACAAAATATTAGGCCTTTATATTGAAACACTCCTAACTGAGCCACGCGACTCACGAGTCTAGGTGTGCCTAAATTGTACGTATGACTTTATTATAGGAGCACTCCATCATATGTGTATGCCTTTTATTTCTTACATGGAAACCCACATGCACGGTCCCAGATGGGTTCGTTCACAACTTCTTTCTTCCACCTCTACCCATACATTCATTACATGACATTTGCTAAGTGAAGTGAAGGCGCGGATAGATATATATATATACACACACAAAAATGAATTATTTGAGCCTATAAATAGCACCGTTTATAGTTGTGATGTCCATCCCTTTGAAGAAAATGAAAATTGAAAAGTAGATTTCAAGAATGGCGAACTCCCAAGGTAGGAGGAGGGTGTTTGATCTTCCCGGCCACTTGGATGGTTGTCAGAGCTAGCCCGCCAAATTCAGCTGCTGGAGGACGTGGTGGCCAAACTACTAGAACAATTTTCATTCCTACAACGTTAATGTGTTCTTAATGTAGCCTAGTCCAACCGGAATAGATACCCATTGTATAATATCACTCCACTATTTGCTTTTGGGTCTTAAATCGATTCCACTATATAATTTTACCGCATTCACGCTCCCCCTATCGCATTCACACCCACTCGTATGACTTGGTTCACATAATTACTACCATTATAGCGCCTTGCTTAGGAAACTAAGGTTTCGTATGGTTACATAGAATTAACTAAAAAAGAAAGGAAATAAAAAATTTTGAAACTTTTTAAGAGTTTGGTTAGATGGAAAAGAAAAAGTTCTGGAAAATTAAAATTCTCCTAACCTTTTATTTTCTTCAAAACGTTTCCCACATAAAACACGGGGAAAATTTATTTTCACGAGAAAGCAAACAACAACTTTATCACTGATAGGGTTTTAATTAACTTGACTTTCATTCTTAATTGTTTTTCATTATATATGAATGAAATAAATAGTAGTTTACAAGGTCTAAATTAATTAAAAACTCCATCGTATTTTGTGTACATACTACAAATTATTTTTTTATTATTTTACCATTTTTATAAAATAAGGATAATTTAGGTATCTAAACTATAACATGATATTTTTCGACAATTTTCTTGGATAAAATTTCATCTTAACCAAATGCAAACTAAAAAATCAATTTTCTTTTCATTCACTTCTCTTCTTTTCATTTTCTATTTCCTTTCTTTTCTTACTATTTCTATCTAACGAAACATAGCCTAAAGGAAGAAAAAATTTGGAATTCAACTAGAATATTCAATTAGATAGGAGCACCCCTTTAATCTTGACTCTTCCACTAATCTTGCATGCATTAAAAAACACACACCTAACTATTATATATATATATATATATATATATATATATATATCTTCCTGAGGATCTCATTCTAAAATTTCATGCCAAAGTCAAACATTTGCCTAGATTTGATTAATACATTTACCTAAGATTTTTGTCCAAGTTTATGCTAGAGGGATGGGCATAGGGGTCAAAAGATATGATAATATTGCACATGCATTTCTGTTCACGCTCTAAGTGTGTGCTAATTAAATTTGCTCATCATATGAACAATGAAGCACCCTCATGGTAGAATTAAGAATATGGATTCAAGAAATTGGTAATAATATTAAGTTTGATAATCGGGTTTCCAAAAAGCAGATTCACAGCATTCCAATGACGACGACTCTGTTAGGGCAGGCAAAATAAATAGGATACTTAAACAGGTAATCTTATGTACAAGCAGCTCAGAGGCATATCTATCTCAGTCGAGCAGAGCTCCGAGTTATCCTCCTTGTATCAGAATCAAGCAAAGAAGCCTGAGAGGAACCAGATCCAGCGTTATCGGCTCCATCAACACTCTTGCCTGTTCTCAACCTCTTTCGCGTGAAGGGTTGTGGAGGTCGCCCGTTCTGAGAGGGTACATTTGGTTCATCCTCTTCCTCTACAGCTTCTGTTTTGGACACTGGGATCAGCCACTGAGTGCCACAACCTGGACAAACTCTTTCAACCTGAATCTCGTAGAGTTAGCAAATTAGTTGGAATCACCTTTCAAATATATATATATATATATATTAGTTGGGATCACTAAGATCACTTGTTCATTGCAAATGTGATAACTGGAACGTTTAAATTGATACCTTTCTTTGAGAATATTTCTTTCCTAGACAGTATTTATGAATTCGAACGGTACATGCTTCATTATGGCATAACTCTGCCTGCCAGAACAATCATAATAAAACATATCATATTCAATGGCACCACCAAACAACCTTCTCAACAGAAAACAACCAAAAGGTGAGGGAAAAATGTAAAAATAAATAAAAAAGATAGCAAAGCTATCAGTTGAGCAAGAAGATATTTAACAGCCATATGGTAGATGCAGAATATCAGATTCTATAATTGATATTATCTTAGGTTGAAAGGTCGTTGTCATATTATACTACTACCAAACTATTAGGTGGATGCAAATGTTTAACAGTCGCTTCTAGGAGCTCTGTTTCCCCCAAATGCCTTGGTACAATTTTTTTTTACCAAAGTAACCAATTAGCCACTCGGGCAAGCAATCACTTAAGGCAGTTCAGGCTTTGAAAGATTCTTTGCCTCAAATTTTTTTTTTTTTTTTAAGCAATTGTATGTTATAAATACAAAGTTATACCCTCTCTAATAGCTTAAACTTTTTTAAGGGTAAATTATGGTAAACATAGTATTGAAGGAGGCAGGGTCTTGAGTTCAAATCTCACTGCAACCATAAAAATTAATAATTGATACACGTTGTGAACCAAAACTGGGCCACACATGAAGGGATGTGTTAGAAATATAAATATTTAAGTTGCACCATTTTTTTTTCCTTAGTTAAGCTACACCAGTTGAAGTAGCTTAAACTTTTAGAACAAATGATTAGTTAACATTCTACAATATCACATGCAAGGAAATACTTGATATTATCTCAAGGTGAATGGTTGCATGATATTCTACTAAACATACAACATGACTGATGCAGCAAATGTTTATACATAGAATCCTTACATGGACCCATCTAGAATCTCTCCCTGGCCAGCAGTATCCCAATCACATTATCTCTATGACACTAAGAGATGCTACTTTACGAATCCTCATGAAGCATTAGGACTGGCCTAGTGCACAAGACTCCTGCCATTGCAGGGATTGGGGAGGGTTAGATGTATGCAACCTTACCTCCGCATGAGTTTGTTCCTGTTTCGAATTCGTGACCTCCACGTCACAATGGAGCAAGTGAGCACCTTATTGTTCGCCAACGCCCTCCCTCCCTCCCTCAGGAAGCATTAGAGGTGACGGAGAAAAAAGTTTCAGTTTAAGGGACGGTTCATCAATTGCATTGCACATCATTCATGGACACTTACAGATGCACAAGACATTTACATGTGATAGGGAACTTTCATACAGATCAAACAGCACTCATTAGTATGGAAAATCAATAGCAAAGATAAAAATACCTTTAGTCCAGCCTCATTGCAAACTTCACACGAAGGAACATCATTATTACGGAACCAACTTCGCAGATCGAGGAAAGATCTAACACCAAGTCCAATGTTACCATCTGGGGTGGAACAAAGCCACTGATCCCGCACAAGTTCCTCAAGAGTTTTCTCCTTTTGAGATAATGAGAAATTTCTAAATGCTGGGGGGACTTGAGATGGACCAGCTTGTGACTGTGACCCAGTTCCAGTCAGAGCCTGGAGATTTGACCAAAAGGATTTTCAAGCAAACTCAATTGGTGTTTATAAAATGACCAGTGCAAGAACTACACAGTAAGGATATTTCGCATTGCTTTATGAAATGTCTATACATTACATGACATTGATTTATAGAAGGTCACCATATACATTTACCAAAGACACACTTTTAGCACATAAAAACGCATAAATTAAGTACACAATTGATTTCTAGATTTAAAAGTGTGTGTTCGGGTCAAAAATAATTTCCACGGAACTTAACAGAAAAACTTTGTCTAAATGCTCCATTTATCTCTATGAAAATCGTAAAAATTATATTACAACAAATTTGTTAATAGTTTATTATGTCCCTTCACTTAGTTTAGAGGGAAGTCACTTTACATCTAGAATTTATATTTGTTCTCGGGATACATTTATCCATGAAAATACTTTCTTTTGAAGTACATGTAGATACAACAGTCACTTTCGACAATCACATAAACAAAAAACTTATAGCTTCATCAGAAATTGTGGTTTCTGGTGTAGTAAGTTCACAAAGAAAGTGAAATATGTAGCAGCAAGTAAGCAGCTGACTATAACCTTGTAAGACATGATATACTAGAAAAAAGAAATATATATATATATATATGCATTAAGAATATATACCCCAAATATTGCTACGATAAGAGCTTTAATTTTTATGAAGATTGTTAACATAAATAATCTTCTTCCTTTACAGAAAGAAATAGGTCAACTGGCCGTTCTAATTCTTCCACAAAGCAGATATAAGTAACTCATATATCCTTTAAAAAAGTTGCGAGGTATCATTACAATACTTCAATCCCAGGAGATCAAAATAGAGCACATTTGGTGTATGGCTGGGCAGATTTTGGATATTATTATTACTATTATTTTTATAAGTAAGTCAGATTTTGGATATTGTACTGGAAAATCCCTCATTAATGCAGTTTTGCAGCACATGTACACAGATTTTTGTTTATAATATGTTGCACTTTTACAAGATGCTGGTTAAGCTTCCTTTTAACGCTTGATTGGTATTTTCCGGCTTCATCAGGTTATGTTTGTGGAGATTTTCCAATGGTATAACTCAACAATCTTGCAACCTCAGTGATCGATTGCCTCATCCAATGTGGGTTCAAGCCATCACAGCAGCCTCTTTGTTCAAACTAATGCCAAAAGTTTAGTGTTATCTCGTGTGTTCCCCTCCCAGCACCTCGTGTAGGTAGGACATACACAAGGTAATGCCTTTAGTCAAAACGGAGGATTCTATATAAGATAGATAATATGAGATGGATTAGCCATGAGTCCCTTTTGCGAATAAGAGCTTCTGCACTCTTCAGATCCTATCATATAGATCAAATAATTCTTTTGAAGCAAGTTTGATTGGCAGATTGGTCAGACCATCACAGTTCTCCACAACTTCGCTTCCAATTATTTCTAACATAATACATTTCTAGAAGTTCACCAAAGGTGTGCCTTAACAAAGGTAATATAATGGAGCACACTTCAGATTTTTTAGTATAAAAATATTTAAAAATTTTAACATGTTATACAGTAATGTTGTACCCAAACCAAACATAAGCTAGACTGAAACTTCTCATTTATCACTCTGCACAAACATCTTGGAAGTGTAAGTCTGGCCAACTCCATGGAGACGGTGTCTGGCCAAGTCCATGAACCACGTCAGGCCAACCTTGATATGATCGTGATTTCCAAATCCAAACCTAACCCTAAATCTGACTGTAGAGTCCATTCTGACCTAAGAGATAAGTTATGTAAATTTAATCTGACTGACTTGCACCTTAATAGCATCCCATCCAGTATTATTGGCAAAAGAAGAAGCTATTTGCAATTAATAAAAATCTTAAGTAAATAATAATTCACACAGAAATCTGAATACTTGATGTAGGTCATGCGAGACATCAGTACTACAACACCGAACAGGATGAGCAGGCAATGTTTTTTTCGGATGGGAGATTACTTATAGTAAGCATATTCATTCAAACCTGATTCTCCAATCGTATATTGAGAGCATCTAAATTTGATATGCTACCCCGAGCAGTCGCATCTTGCACAATGGCTTCTATCTGATAATTCAAATATGACATAAACACTAACAATCAGAGAAATTAAATTGAGATAATGCAATTCAGAAATGATTAAAAGGAAACAGCAATCTGCAAGTGAAATAATATCTTCTGCATATGCAGAAGTTATATAGCACCAAAATGGGAGAAGAGATACATTTGAATGCTTTCTAATACAGTCTTACTTATCAAAAATAAATAAATTGCATTTGAAGTAGAGTTGAATTGTAGGTACACTCAAATTATATATCATCATAAATAATTTCTAGAATTGCTAATTTTCTGACAATAATACACCAGCATGAAAGTACACTGCAAATTGAGAGAATTCAGTAGTACCAATCAGGGACGGAGCCATGAATTTCCTTCACGGGGGGGTGCAATGAGCATGAACAATTTTAAATTTTTTTTTTTTCCGCTTAAAAGTGCAGCAAAACAGCAAACCAAAAAATAGAATTTCAGTAATCAAGATTCAAATATCAAGTAAAAACTGCATCAGTAACAGCTTTAATGATTACAGAAGTTCCAAAATGATACAAAGGTGCATAAAAACTTACAATGCCCTTATAGAAAGCAATCTGAGGCACTGTGTATTTTGTTCCAAGCTTCGACTCTTCATCTGCAATATTATTGACTACACCATAATAAACATTGCCATCATATTGGTTTCTACAGGCCCGCAACTCAAACTGAACATACATGAGCTCCTTGTTTATCTTTAGAAGAAAATCGTTGAAAAGCTGTTGATGAGTACCTGTAACAAGTGTAATAAGCAAAATGAAATGTTTGACGAATAGCCATCTATTAGTACTCTAAAAGTCCACACCATTGTGTAACATACGATCAAGTAATACCTTGTATCTCCAAAACAAAAACCACAAACATTAACCCAACATCTACCCTCATGAAGCAATTCTCATTAAACATATACATGTATACTATGTTACATGGACCCTTCAAAAGTAGTGAAGCACCCGTGTCGGACACATATTGCTTGGACATCGGCATGGAATATGTGTCTGACACTTATGGTAGGACATGTACTTAAAAAGCATATCTAATCATTCAATTGTATTATATTATCACTTTAAAATGAGTTAAATGCCTATATTGGACAATATATTACATAAAAACATTACTTTACTCTAAAAAATAAAATAAAATGAATACTTAGCAGTGTCCATGTGCCCTCCTGTATGAAGATTTGATTATTTGACATGTCCGATGCATGGATACATACCCATATCCGACACGTACCCGAGTCCACGTAACATAGCATGTGTGTGTGTGTGTGTGTGTGTGTGTGTATAACCATGTTCATCCAAGTCTAAAGACAACTGATGTGTTTTGTACGACAAAAGCAATACTGTACTAACTAAATCAAACAAGAAAACTTGTTGAAGCAGGCTTTATATCAACATAAATCTGAAATGTTTTGTATGCAAAATTGAGTTTTGTTTGTGATATGAATGCATTTTTTGCTTGAACAAAATCCATACTCTCTCAACTGTACTTTTACTGCAAGATGAGTAACCAGGTTTACATGCATGATTATTACGGATTTTATTTATATTTTTGTAACTTCTAGGAACTTTATTTTATTATTCCAAATGGTTTTTATTTTAGGATACTAATAGTCAGATTTGAGTCCTTATAAATTTCGAATTGTTGCTGCTTACATTCCAAAATTTATAGGGGCCAGCAGATATCCAAATTTTATAGAAACCAGTAAATACGCTGTTCAGAGAAAGAACAAAATGAAAAGTAGTAAGTTTCTGCATATAAATTTTGAGAGATTTGTCCTTCTATGCCTGGCGGATTGAAAGACCCTTAATGGATTTTAAGATTTCAGGTTCTTTCTTTGTTTTCTTTCTCTTCCACTATATTAGTGTGTATCAGAGTCCGGGCAGACTTGGTCTAATGGTAAATGATAGAATTGCAACAACTTCCTTAACAAAGGGGAGTGACATCTTACGAGGGCTGAGTTTATGGACTTCTTTTCAGAAGACATCGCAAGAGATAGGCGTTCTAGGTTAATAATGGAGTCAAATAGGAGTTATAGGACCATAGAGAACACATCTGCAATGGGGCTAGTTGCCGTCCTTGGGGAGGACACATTCCTGCACGAACACATAGGCCTCAAGTCCATCTAAATAATTCTAGCACCTAAATATTTAATGACACAGGAACACTAATTGGGATAAATAACTGGTTCATTTCAAGACAAAATGCAAGCACTTGATAATCCTATCAATGAAAGGTTATTTAATATGCTCTGATATAGAAGATTTTAGGTAATAAATTTACTATATCATAAAATCATAGACGATTTTAGGTAGCTATTATCATTATGAATTTTTCAGACAATAGTTCCAACAGATCCAAGTCATCAAATTATTTTGGTCAAACAATGGATAGATGTGAAAGAAGCGAAGTATATTTCAAAAAAGCAAACATATGGATTCAGAAAATCAATTTTTACTTGAAAGCAGTTAAAGAGGACAATTATCTCTAATGAAGCCCGTCAAGAGAAGAATCAAGTTGTATGTGAGCAACCTCAAGAAGATTTAGTGCTTTAGAAATTAAATGGAAATAGATTTCAAAGGTAGGACTTGGTCCTATTGAAAACTTATAGAAAAAAATGTAAGAATTAGCGATAATTTCACAGAAATAAAATAGACATTGTCTGGTTTCGTTTCTGGAAAATGAAATATGAAGCTAGACAAGTTTTTTTCAGTTCTCAGCAACTCAAAGCTTCATATGTAAAATTTCAGTTAAATTTTTTCCCCAAATTTCAAATTTTCAGTTAATTCATTATCAAACAACAATTAATACAAATATAAGAATCGATTTTATGCTAAATTTCGACCGCATTGGAAAAGAAACAAAAACGAAACGAATTGAAACAAAGCAAAACAAGACCTGGACTTTTCCCAGTAACGTTGGAGAAGATAGAGTGGAACTCATCCTCCTTGAGCGGACCGCGAGATAGTAGAACTTGAATCAGCGTGTGGTGTCTCCAGCATAATGTAGTCGACATTTTCGAAAACCCTAAACAAGTTCCACGAACCGAGACAAGTTGGAATTCGACTCCAATATCAGTTCAGAAACCCTAATTTCAGCGAGAAAAATGAAATCTTCGAGAAAAAATTAGGGCACATGAAGTATGAGAATATATTATGGTTGAGAAACCCTAGCAGAATATTGGGAGTGAAAGGTAAGATTTCTGATGAGAAACTATAGATCTCCTGGGAAAATTCAAGGGGTTATGCGTCTCGAGAGGTGGCGGGAAAGCCAGGGCCTTTATAGCCGGAAAGGAGAGGAGATTCACGTGCTCCTCACAACATCTTATAATTTCCCATTCGGGAAAATTGCAAATTAGTTGCGCTAAGAATCTCCCAAATAATGTAAACACATGTTAATGGGATTGTAAGTTTTTTGTTTTTTTTTTTTTTTTGACACCAAATAGGAAGCAATCACATAGAAGAAAGAAAATTACAATCGGAGTGAAGGGCATCCAATAACCACTTGGGCCAGATGCTCCATTCCAAGTCACCATGAGCTGCTACAAGAGCCTTCTTGCTCAAAACATGAACTACAACATTTCCTCCCTGAGGAGGAACCCAAGCCAAAGAGGCACCTAAACAATCCTTAAGAAGAGAAATGACCTCCTGAAAAACAATAACTAAAGCCTCCACAGAGGCTTGAAGTCGCATCATAGGCAAACAATCTCCCTTAATAATCACATTGCGGTAACCCCAGAGTTTAAGAAGAGAAAGGCTTTCCCTAGGAATCAGACCTTCGGCAAGCGCCGGACTAGAAACATTAGACAAAAAACGTCGACGCCACCTTGAGAGGAAAACCAAGATGGTTTCTGAGAATAAAACCGCCCCCACCAGTCTTTCTGGAAGAATCAAAAGAGGCGTCAAAAGTAAGCTTGAAACAGCCCTCACCTGGAGCGCTCCACCTCGAAGAGTGAGGGACCAGATGAGGAGAAGAGAAGGAGAGTAGCGAGCTTTGGCCAGAGAATTCCCAAAATTCTTGATAATCCCGGAAAGCCTTCTGAGCTACGTCGAAACGATCCCATCTTTTCTTCTTGAAAATAAGGTCATTTCTGCATTTCCATAAAGTCCCAACAAATGAATGCAGCCAAACTGAAACTTTCCACCTGGGATGTAGAGGAACTCCAGATTTCAGAAAGATCAACCCAGCGTTTCAGCCAAAAGGAGGGACCTTGGCCATGAAATCCAACTGAAGAGGACTTAATCGCCACACCAAGCAAGCAAAAGGGCAAGTACAGAGAAGATGATCCATGGTCTCGACTGCCGAAAGACACCTTCAGAGACTTCCGAGCAACCACGTAAAAACAATAAATGGTTCACTGGAATTCTATCATGGAGAGATTGCCAAAGAAATAAATAAAATTTTCCTGTGAGCTTTAATAGTCCACACTTTGCACCACATAGGCTTTCTGAAGGATTCAAAACTTCAACCCACCGCCGCACCACACTGAGGCTTCTTACGTAAAATGGAAAGTGCAATGTGGTAAACACTTTTAACAGAGAGAGTGCCATCATTAGAAGCACCCCTAACTTTTTGATCTACCTCTCCCGTAACACTGATAGGAATTTGGAGGATTAAATCACTGTCTTGCTTATTAAAATGCTGAGCAATCAGACTTGAATTCCACTTATAAGAAGAGTGGTTTATATATGGGCATAATTCGAACATTGATGTTTATTAAACACAATACGATGTGTTTAAACATGTTAATAAATGCATATTGTAATTGTAAAATGACATTATTTTTTTTATTATTTTTGAATTATATAATACAATAATAAGAAAAATAAAATATAATATTGAATTTTATGCTACGTTGAAGGAGAGAAAGAAATGAAATTTTCGTTGAAGGAAGGGAACAGAGGAGGGCATATCTTCTAAACCACATTTTTTCATGAGCCCAATTCTAAGCAAAAAAATCACGGAAAGATAGACTTACTAACTTATAAATATAAAATACAATTTTTAGCTTTCAATTATGTACAAAATTATAAAAACTTTGCTAACTAAATAAAATAACTTGTCATATGTACTGTCTTTCCTTTCAATTATCTCTTCCATCAAATTAAATAAAAGATGAGGAAGACGCCATCCATCCTTCCATAGGTATGCTTCGTTCATCCCTCATGCGCTCTTCTATCTCAAACGGAGCATTAGAATGCCTAAATTTTCATTTCGCTTCCATAAATCTGATTATTAACCTAGGGTTTCACTATAATACAATATGAATATAAAATTATTATTTATTATACAAATTAGGGCCAATTGCATTAAAATTCTCTTGACTTGTAGCATTTTACAATAAATCAGGTTTTTTTTATATATAAAAATAATTAAATAATTAAAAAATAGTTCAATGTAAAATGGTACTAGTCAATTTTTTTGGTATGAAATTCACCCTATAAAATAAGTCAAATATCAAATTAGGTTAAAGGGGTCAAGAATCAAATTTAAATTTGACATAATTTATTAAATAAATTATTCAAAATAATACGATTATGACGCAAATAGGATGAATGATGTTAAAAATTTTCACCCTTGAAAGTCTTATCTCTTACTTATTTAAAATTTACAAACTAATTATAGTAACATGAAAACACTAACATTGACCAATGAGATGAAATGGCACTCTCAAAATCGTAAGAAAAATATGAATGCTTTTAATTTATATACGACCCACTTTTGATACATTAATATACTATTTTGTTACGTTTGGGAATATTGAATTAGAACTTTGAATTTGAAATTGGAGGAAGATTAGTTCAAATTTTGTACTAAATTTTATCCAATTGGAAAGTATGGCCAACAAAGACGTTAGGCCCAAGGAGGTGATTGTGGTAACTTTGTGGGCGGATGTGCCGTGGACGGGTGCAAGAGGCACTGACTGGCTACCACACTAGGCGAGCTAAAGGGGCACAATCCCACATCGCCTGGGTTTGAAAAGGGAAAGTGGTATATATATAGGTGTGTCACTCCAATTGGCACGTGCATGTTCGGGCTCAAAGTTGCCAATATCATACTAAGTAGTAGAGTAGGTCGATAATTTCTATTGTAGAGTTGGAATTTGGGTAGGCCTAATCTTTGCATCTCGACTCTGAATCTCATGAGTTTTAATTATTCTAAATATAAAAGATAATTTTTGTTAGTTTTATTTTATGTAATATTTGTATGGCAAAAGTGCAAAAAACCCTTGAACTATAACCAAAAGTGAAAAATACCCCCCTGAACTATCTGGGGTTAGAAATCGAACCCTCATTTATACTAACGTTGCAAAATGGATCCTATCGGTCATCGGACCACATTTTTCGGCTCCCAAAGAGTCAAAATTACCAAAATACCCCCACTTATTAATTTATATAAAAATTATAAAATATAAAAAATGCACAATACCCGTAAGATCCTTCAGGGGCTATGTTGCAACTAACCGGCAATTTTGCCTAATAATAATAAACAACAATAACATTAATAATAATAATAATAATAATAATAAAATAACAAAAATAATCACTTTTGGCTCATGCGGATTAACAATAATAATAACAACAACAATAATAATAATAATAATACTAGTAGTGGTAGTAGTAATAATAATAAAATTTTAAAATAATAGCAAAAATAAAATGCTTGATTAGTACTTGATGGATTAATTTTTTTTAAAAATGATGTGCCAGTTGAGTTGACTGTGTAATAGTAATATCTGTATTTTGTTTTGTGGGGGTAAATAATAGTAATATCTGCAACGGACTAACAATGCGCCAAAAACAAAAAGTACAGTAGAAACTGTTGCCCAAGTATAGACTCTAGAGGGGGGTGAATAGAGTCTTTGGCAAATAATAGCCAATTTTCAGTTTGGCAAATTCTACTAAACCCTTCTAACAATTATGCATTTTTCAAGATATAAACATGAGCAATTAATAGCATAAATGTAGAAGAGATAAGGGAAGAGATATTGTAAATATTCACACGGCGATTTTAACGAGGTTCGAAAATTTCTACTCCTCGGCTTAAGACCCCTCTTGAGACTTCCCAATCCACTAGTGCACCTCCTTACAGGTGGAGAGTAAACCTTTACATGAAGCAACTCCTTGTTTCACTTTGCTAAGAAACAACCTTTCTTAGTCTTCCTTTGGGTCACACTAACCCTTACAAATTGAAGCTAGCTTGCTTCTTCTTCGTTGGGTCACACAAGCCCTTTTAAATGATACCAAATTTGTTGCATACAAATATATTTCTCGAAGATTGATATGCAAATCAAAGCTCACAACTAGAGTATATATGAATAGATTGAAACTCAATACTCTATGAATGATATGGGATAAGAGAGTATGATATGAATGAAGAACAAAAGTTCTTATGATGCTAGAAGATGTCTCTCAAGTGTAGCAACATTAAAATCCCGAAGTCCCCTTACTTTATTTATAGAGTTTTTGCAACTAATTCAAAAATAGAGTTGTTGTGCACACTGCTCGAGAGGAAAATAGTCATTTGAATCAAATCTGGACTTATTTCGATAGACTGAATTAGCATTTCGGTCTGCCGGTTTGTGAGTTGCAACTTAGCATGGCTACTGCCTAAATCGATCGGCTGATTCAGATTGCCTCTCCATTTCGGTCGGCCGAAATGGAACTGCTGCTTCAGAAATTGTTCTAGATGAGACAGTTTTTCTACAAAACATTTGCACATACCTTATTTCCATTGAAAATATTTAAGTAAATGTCTTTAAGTTTACAATATAAATAAGGAAGTACTCTCGATTTGGATTCAATTAAAAATACTAGAAAATTGAAATCCCATTAAATCAAAATGTAGAAATTCAGTTTTTGTACAAATTTGGATTTCTGACAGTTTTGGTAAAAATGAAATCTTATATAAACCAGTGTAGACTTGGTTAAAAATTCTGATAAAATCAGTTTAGGCTAGTTGAAGTATAAAGAAATATTACCAAGAAAAATTATTTTGAAATAATCATTATTTCAAAATTTTATTTTTCACACTGAGCAAAAAAAACACAATTTTTCATGACGCACATTCAGGGGTCCTAATGTTCGTTACCAACTTATGGTAATGTAGGCTTCTCATACTTTAATTGTTGACCAATATGAATTGTATGATTGATGTGAATGGTCTTAGCATTTCTAGCACAAATGATGAGTTCTTTCAAAGGTTATGCAAGCTTGAACTAACTCACTCTTTAGCAATGACTTCATGTGCAATTATATATGAATGAAGTAAATAGTCTATTGCTAATGGATATAGGATCATATGAATGATGATATGATTTGCATGGTCCTATAAAGATGAGTTTCAAATGGATTCATAAATACTTTGATATTGAATCCTAACGATTCACCATCTTATCTACCCCTTTCTTCACGCTTTGTCCATGATCGTATATGCTTTCAAATAGGCTTGTTTTTTTTTTCCTTTCGTTGAGTTACTTTCTTACTCGTTGTAGTCCAAGCTATCTTTGGATGGACTTTGTATTTGCTTCTTTGCAACTTCATGTCTTCTTTGTCTCATTTACTTTCCATAGATGTGATCTTGAGTAATAGAATACTTGGAATGATCTTTCGTGCTTCATTGAGGTCATCATTTGAATGTGAATAATTTATAACACTTAATGAAAATACTAG